AATATGAGTATTAGTAGTGATTGAGCTTGAAAAGATAAGTGTAAAATATACTGGCAAATATTTTTCCACCACCATAGACAGTGCATATGGAGAGCTAACAAACAAGACTAGAGAAGGTCCTGCTTTATCAATGTCAATTCTGAAATATTTAAGCTTAATATTAACAAAGGAGGCACACCGACTAATTTAACGTATCAGTCATAATCTTGAATTTTGATTAAAACGAGGAGGTGATGCTTTCTAGTACTGGACAAAGAATAGAATGCTTAGATCATAATAGTATTCACCGAAATGTTCTAACATAGAGCATAATCGATCTTGGAAGAGATTCATTAACAACGGTAAAAAGACAGATGCACAACTCCAATAAAATAGGAGTTTAGTCAGTTGAAGACTAAGCGGGGAAAAGAAAATGAGTGGCATTGTCACGCCAGTCAATAAAGAAGGAAATTGGGTTTCTGACTTCATTGGAACCAGTAGCAGCATTACAACATAAACCATTTACCCTTACATAGGAAAAGTGAGAAATGTAACACTTCAAAAGAAAATGACTATGCAATCAGAATAAGCGCTATGAAATGGTACCACATAATACAGAAGAAGCTATGAAATCTGCAGCTGCCAAACAGCCTTGTCAATATTGAAGTTTTAGTTTCCTGCCACTACTAGACAAGATTCCATAACATAGTTCAAAATAAACTTATATACTAATTATCTATTTCGATTTTCATGTTGTATTCCATTTAATAACATCAAAATAGTATCAAGGTAAGCTATCATAAGCTCATCACTGTAGATAAGTAGGTCAATAAAATCACAAATTCACATGACATTTGCACAAACAGGGAAAAAGCATAAGTTATTAGAAATGGAGAAGGGAAAGCTACTACAATTGAAAACAAAGCTTAATGATGTAAGCTCACAAGTATTTCCTTTTCATTTCTGAAAGAAGAATAGAGAAGGAAAATCAAGAAAGTAATGCTTTAAATACTTACAGTAACAGCTTTTCATAAATGTTGCAGCTTATATTCTTCGATGTCTGCCCATGAGTGTACACGCAATGGACACATATTACGATCACGAACCAATATACCTAAGTGTCGCGTAAATGAGGCATGATTCTTTCCAACAATCCGATTGGGGTAAAAAGTAATGCTCAACGTTTCTCCAACTTTGAGTGATGCAATATTTTTACATCTATTAGTCTCACTTTTTTTGCCTTTTCAGATTTACATGGCCTTGCAAATTTTAATTTAAGTCAAATAAAAAAAAGTTTTTGTACAATAAAAAAAAAAATATTATAGCTTAAAACAGTAAGATACTTATTTCGCTTCTTTCAATGCCTTGCATCACTTCTTCATGATGAGGAAGGGGTGCATCACCTTCCAATATTGGTTCAAAACCAAGAGGCACAAAACTATCATTATGAGTTATCTTATTCTGATCAGAAGCTAATACACTAAAAGTTTTACTTTTGACAATCGAACCTCTCTGTTCAACATTGTTCTAAAGCTTTGCCCTCGTCCCCTTGCTAAGCTACCAGGTGGAACGTACACAGGCTTCGCAGACTTTGAAGTTGATTCCACTTTAAACGTCTGAGAATTTGATGTATTCATGTCAACCTAGTACAATAAAAAAATGAGTATAGATGTCTATCATGCCAGTTAATCATTTATCATACATATGAAGGCCTTAAAAAGAAGCTCAGAAGTTAGATGGAAATAGACAACAACAATAAACTTAATTGATAAAAACATGAGGCGGAAAAACCTAGAGATAACAAAATAACTTAGCAAGGAATATTAGTCAATCTATTTCAAAGATCATTTTTATAATCCATTTGAATAATTTCTCACCCACAAAATTTAACTGGCCTATAATCCAAATAATAGCCTTAATATCCTTACAATAAAGGATAAATAAAAATGTTAATTTGCTAAATCTAATATGAGGAGTGCTAGAAGACAAGCCAAAAGGGGACCATTGTTTCAGGCTCTGTAAGCTTACGACATGAAATAGCATTTAATGGGGTCACGATTTATAATCCTAAAATCCATATGGATTTCTTGACCTTGGCTGTATCTTGGTTAAAGGCTTATAAAAGAAAAACCAATAAAATTGGAAATTAAGGTTTCAAATAAAAGAGGAGAGTTTGTGGCATATCAACTCTTGTACTAAACTAATCGAGAATGTAATATTATCATCTATTAAGAGAATCGATTGACCACAATTTTTAATTGAATTGGATGGATCCAATTTTTAGAAAAACTGTAGTTTACGCTAAAAACTCAAAAGAAAAGGATGAAGAGTCATAAGAAAGAGAGTAAAACAGGAAGCGACATGTTCGAACCTTACCTGATGAGAAGAAACTCGAAGATGAGTAGTTGTTGTCAATGAAGGTGACGAGCAGTTTTTCTAATAGGATGATATTGATGTTTGAACACCAGCAGTTTCCCTGAATTTTATTTCACAGGCAGTTGCAGGTTTATGAAATAAATGTTCAAAACAGAGGTTTAATTCGCAGTTGCAGGAGAAGTCTTAGGGTTTTTTTCTTTTTTTGGGGTTGGTTGGCGGAGGTATGGGTTGGAAAAATAGGGAAAAATTAGCGCCACTTTTTATTAATTAATTATTTAATGACGGGCTATGTTATATTTTAAGCGCCGAATATTATCCCCTCGTTAATATTGTGCTAAAAATTAGTTTCAACGACTGGAAAAATATTTGATTGCTATAAGTACACTTATAACGACCGGATTTATATCCCTTCGTTAAGAAGTGGTCGTTAAAAATCAAATTTCATGTAGTGAAAGATGGCCAGAATATAGAACCATCAACTACTCTACCGCTGCGTAAAAGAAACTACGCAAAGACATAGAAAAGATAAATTACACAAGTATGAAAGATATTAACCAAGTTGGGATTCAAGAATAAAGTCTATAGAAGATTAAATATTCAAAAAG